ACTTTTCTGCTTCCAGAATAGCCATGTCCAAACCTGGAAAGAGAGCTTTATGGTACCCCTGGGAAAGGTGTAAGATGCAGAATGGATGAATTCTCACGAGGGAGCCATGGTCGCAGCAGCCCCTCCAGCTCAACATGCATCATGAGAAACGTTCAGACTCTGGAGCTGGACATGCCTGAGGCCAAGCCCCAGGCTCACCACACCTGGATGTGTGGCCTTGGGCAGGCAGCTTTAGCCTCTGGGCCTCAGTTTTATCCATAAGGTGGGTAGAAAAAAACACCACATCCTGGATTGCTGTGGGGTATAGAACAAAACTAAAACTAACATGAGAAATGCACTTAGGCAAGGGGTGGGGAGCTAGGGGAGGGATAACATTAGGAGAAATACCTAATGTAGATGACGGGTTGATGGGTGCAGCAAACCACCATGGCATGTATATACCTATGTAACAAACCTGCATGTTCTACACATGTATCCCAGAACTTAAAGTATAATAAATATAAAAAGAAGAAGGAGAAGGAGGAGGAGGAGGAAGAAGAAGAAGAAGAGAAGAAGAAGAAGAAATAATGCACTTAGGCTGGGTTAGGTAACTCAGGATGCTAAGGAACGTGGCCACTCCAATGACCATATGGTCCCCAGATATGATGGGACCTCCCAACACTTTGGGAGGCTAAGACAGGAGGATTGCTTGAGGCTAAGAGTTTGAGAACAGCCTGGGCAACATAGTAAGACCCTATCTCTATAAAAAAAACATTTTTTAATTAGCCAGGTGTGGTGGCATATGCCTGTGATTCCAGCTACTCAGGAGGATGTGGCAGGAGAATTGCTTGAGCCTGGGAGATTGAGGTTACAGCACGTTATGATCATGCTACTGTACTCCAGCCTGGCTGACAAAGTGAGATCTTGCCTCTAAGTAAACAAACAAATAAATAAAAACAAACATAAGTAGCTGGGCATGGTGGCTCATGCCTGTAATCCCAGCACTTTGGGAGGCTGAGGCTGGTGGATCTCCTGAGGTCAGGAGTTCGAGACCAGCCTGGCCCAACATGGTGAAACCCTGTCTCTACTAAAAATACAAAAAATTAGCCAGGCGTGGTAGCACAAGCCTGTAATCACAACTACTTGGGAAGCTGAGGCAGGAGAATTGCTTGAACCCTGGAGGTGGAGGTTTCAGTGAACCAAGATTGCGCCATTGCACTCCAGCCTGCACAACAGAGCGAGACTCTGTCTTAAAAAATAGTAAGAATAATAAAATTAACATAAGAAAAGCACTTGGCACACAGGAGGGGCTCTGTAAATGTCAGGTGGAGTTCCCTCTACCTCCCAGTCCCCCTCTCCGTCTGAGTCTCTCTTCCCAGTTCATTTCAGAGCAAGAGTTGGAAGGAACAAGAAGACCATCTTGGAGGCAAGCCTTAGTTAGGCTCTGCAGAAGGGATCCAGGGCCAAACATAACATCAGATTATTAAAAATGTGGACTGTAAACACCGGCACAACAGGCCAGAACACAGTGGCCAACACACCACAGCCCAGCTGCTGCTCATGCTCGTGGCCACACCACCTGCTGCCCCTGATTCTGGGATGGACCCAGCTCCACAGGCACCGGGCACAGACTGGTGTGTTTTTCCTGAGCTGAGCCCTGGGGACCTGGCCAAACCCTGTCCTCATAGCGAGAAGTCCTGGCAGGGTTCCTCAGAGAGGAGAGGGCCTCCTACCCTGCCCCCTGCCCTTAGCCTTTAGGCTGGCCCTGAGGAGGTGACCAGAGACCAGGCCCCTCAGGGATTCTACAAGCTTGGGCCTGACAGTGTAGAGCCAGGTGCAGCATACAGGACGGGAACCCCAGCACCCCCAGTTGGCAGCTGTGTGAGCTTGGGCAAGCCACTTTACTTCTCTGAGCCCAAGAGTCCTCATCCAAAAAATGAGGTTATTGAAAGCCACCCCTCCCCAGCCTGTGGTGTGAGGGTTAAATGAGATAGTGCATGTAAAGCACAGTGCTGGCAGAATAAAGGTAGGACCGGGCCTCCGTGCACCCTGGCATCCCACGCCAAGCAGGACAAGTCTGATGCTGGGAACCAAGCTCCCATCGTATCTGGGGGCCATGTGGTCACTGGAATGGCCACTTTCCCTAAAGGTGAGCAGCCTGGGTGCAGAACTGAGTGAACAAGTCTTGGAGCCAAAGAATGCTGGATCTTTTTTGTTTTTTTTGAGTTGAAGTCTTGCTCTGTCGCCCAGGCTGGAGTGCAATGGTGTGATCTCAGCTCACTGCAACCTTCGCCTCCCGGGTTCAAGTAATTCTCATGCCTTGGCCTCCTGAGTAGCTGGGATTACAGGCGTGCACCACCAAACCCAGCTGATTTTTGTATTTTTAGTAGAGATAAGGTTTCACCATGTTACCCAGGCTGATCTTGAACTCTTGACCTCAAGTGATCCACTCGCCTCGGCCTCTCAAAGTGCTGGAATTACAGGTGTGAGCCACCGAGCCCGGCCGGAAAGGTGGATTTGAACCCCACCCCCATAGCTGTCACTGCCCCATCTATAAATAGTGCTATTACTTACCTCACTGACATACTTGCTCACTCAAGGAATTATTGAATTATTGAAAAAAAGCATGAGGACCTGCCTTGTGTGCAGCTCTAGTCTCCATGGAACCCTAAGGTTGGGTTCCTGTCCTTAAGATCATTGTGAAGATTCAAGGAGATACCGTATGGCAATGCCTGGCATTCGGTAAGTGCTCTTTCTGAATAAGCTGGCTTCCCTACGTTAATTACTGCCTGCCTCTCTCCCTCCCCACCTTCCTTCCTCCTTCTCTCTCTCCCTTGGTGGCCCTTGCCTCCTTCCTTCCTTCTACTCCTACCCTCCCTTCTTCCCTCCCTCCCTCCCTCTGTCCCTCCTTTCCTTCCTTCCTCTGTGGGGCATGAATCAGACATGGGCCCTCTGGGAGTAATTACACAGAGAATGGGGTGGAGAGTTCAACCCCCTCATTCCCCAAACAGGTACCAAGCCCTTCTTGGCAGGTGCAGACCAGCGCCCGGAAGGAAAAGACAGGGCTGGTGGCCACAACGTGAGAGAGGATTTAACAAACAACCCACTCAGTTACCTTCAAAAGACCAAGGCTTTGGCCCCCAGACCTTCCTTCCAGCCCTGAATTCTCTGATCCTCAGTTCTGGGAGGGAAAGGAGAGGAGGGGCTGGATGACTCAGTGCCCCTCTGGGCAGAGTTTGTTCCAGCCCAGGGGCCCAGGGAAGCCCCTTGTGGGGAGGGGTAGCTGCTGGTCACATAAGCTGCAACTGGCCCTGGGACGCCCCATTGTCACCCCAGGGTCATGACCCCACAGGAAAAGAAGCTGTGGGACCCTCCCCCGGCCAAGGCCTCCCCAGCCTGCCCCGCCTGTGTCACCGCCCAGCCTGGCTGAAACCTGATCCGGAGAGATAGAGCCGGCCGAGCCAGCCAGTTATGTCTTAATGTAATTTAGCTGTAATCGCAGCGTGTTTTCCCTCGCTATAATTAGTAAAATGTGGTTGTTTTCTGTGTTCCTGGAAGATGTCTGAACCAGAGCCAGCTGCCCGTAGCTTCTCTGACAGGCTCTCCCAAACAGGCCCACTAGCAACACACTGGATTTCCCAACGCTATTTCCCCCTTTGACCTGAGTTCTCCTAATTCCTGAGTTGAGGCCTCTCTCTCCTGGCTCCTGAGGACACGTCCCAGGGTTTAGCATGGGGCCTGCATGCTGTAGGTGCCCAATAAACGTGAGTGGGTGATTGAGGGATCAAGCCAGCAACAACGAAAAACCATGTAGGGTAAGAATTCCTCATTTAGGAAGTCCACAAGACCCTCAAAGAAATGCGTGTGTTGTGTGTGTGTGCTCACAGGTGTGTGTGTTGTGTATTGTGTGTGTGTGCTCCCAGGCGTGTGTGTTCTCACAGGCATGTGTGTGCTCTGTGTTGTGCATATGTGCTTGCAGGCATGTGTGTGTCGTGTGTGTGTGCTTGCGGGCATGTGCGTGTCGTGTGTGTGTGCTTGCGGGCATGTGCGTGTCGTGTGTGTGTGCTTGCGGGCATGTGCGTGTCGTGTGTTGTGTGCTTGCGGGCATGTGCGTGTCGTGTGTGGCATGTGCGTGTCGTGTGTGTGTGCTTGCGGGCATGTGTGTGTCGTGTATGTGTGCTTGCGGGCATGTGCGTGTCGTGTGTTGTGTGCTTGCGGGCATGTGCGTGTCGTGTGTGTGTGCTTGCGGGCATGTGCGTGTCGTGTGTGTGTGCTTGCGGGCATGTGTGTGTCGTGTATGTGTGCTTGCGGGCATGTGTGTGTTGTGTATGTGTGCTTGCGGGCATGTGCGTGTTGTGTGTTGTGTGCTAACGGGCATGTGTGTGTTGTGTGTGTGTGCTTGCGGGCATGTGTGTGTTGTGTATGTGTGCTTGCAGGCATGTGCGTGTTGTGTATTGTGTGCTTGCAGGCATGGGTGTGTGTTGTGTGTTGTGTGTGTGCTTGCAGGTGCAGCTGTCTGCATGTGGGTGTATCGGGGATAATGGGCACAGCCAGCTCTGCATGGGGCTCTATCACCTTGGGACGTTTTGTTTCTGTGTTCCCACCAGACAGCGCTGGGTGTGAGTGTGGGAATTCTGTGTGCTGTGCACGGGGCCACCCAGAGAGCACCAGAACTGGCCCTGAATGCTCTGCTGACTGTAACACAGCAAAGGATGTGGAGCCCCTGACTCTCCCTGTCCTGCAAGCACTGCTCACATTCTTCTGCCTCAGATCCTCCTTCGGCACAGTCCTTTGTCCTTTCACTCGGGCATCAGCAAACATCCCTCAGGTCCTCCTGTGCACTGTCATCTGCCACTCTCGGTGGCTTTCCAATGGGTCTCTCTGTACCTTCTTACTCCCCCACGAGTTCATTCATTCAATGAGCACTTCTTAAATAATTACGTGGGCTAGCTTGTGGTTTCGTGGTTTGTTTTTGTTTTTTTAATGAAAGATCAAGATTCACGTTTTCTGCCTTTGCCAATTCTCTCCCAACAGGAAACATGTTTCAGATCTCTTATTATTTTATTATCAATCGCTATGTAAAATAAAGTGGTGATAGCACTCACCCTTACAAGGCTCAAAGAGTTTTTGTGTACAGGCTACAGTCTAAATTCCTTTGCTCGGTATCCGTGACGACAGTGACTATGTCACAGAGGCAGTAGGGCAATCAGGGGAAGAACTCCCACAACACTTATTTGTGTGGCCTCAGGCAGGCGACTTCACCTTGCTGAGGGCAGTTTGAACATGCTTGATGTGTAAGTACGCAATAATGTTAATTATTATGTAAGTAATCGTGTGGGCTTTGCATTTTCAATTAATTGGTAATGCTTGGAAAGTGCCGCCAACAATCATTTCTCCAACCCAGCGCCCAAAGTTGTGTCCTTGGCAGAAATCAAGGGCATCTGCACTAGAGGAATGCCGAGTTCTGGTTGGCTGAATTCGCCTGGACTCTGGATGTTCTAATTGGCTGGAACACGAGTGGGTGTGGCCCATTTCCCAGAGCGCTCTTGGCAGTCATTCTTGGAGACGGACGTCAGACCGAGGATTTGGCATTTTACCTGGGTTATTGTTCTTTTTATCTTTTCTCGGGAAATCTCACCAAATATCCAGCCCTATGATTTCTGCAGATAAATTCTTCCAAAACACATCTCTCCTTACAAAATGCGTAATTGTAGTATTTGCCCCACAGCGCTTGGGTGGCTGAGGTGGGAACGCGTGCTCCAGTGCGATGGTGCCGAGTTCCACCTTCTCACGTTGGGCGGGGGGTGTTCTGAGGACCTTGGGGCCAGGTCTTTACTCATGTGAGAGCCTCCGGTCCTCCTTGCAAATAGGGCATTTCTCCCGGCCAGGCACAGGAAGAAATTAGCTGTTTAAAAATTTTTGGTAAAATGCACATTAAAATGTTACCATCTCAACCGTTTTTTAAGTACAGTTTAGTAATGTTAAATACATTCACATAGTTGTGCAGCCAATCTCCAGAAGTCTTTTCATCTTGCAAAACTGAAACTCGTATCTGTTAAACAGCAACTCCCCACTCACCCCTCCCTCCAGCCCCTGGTAACCACCACTCTATTGTCTGTCTTGATAAATGTGACCATTCTAGGCTGGGCACGATGGCTCATGCCTGTAATCCCAGCACTTTGTGAAGCTGAGGCGGGCAGATCACTTGAGGTCAGGAGTTCAAGACCAGCCTGATCAACATGGTGAAACTCCGTCTCCACTAAAAATACAAAAATTAGCCAGGCATGGTGGTGGGGACCTGTAATCCCAGCTACTAGGGAGGCTGAGGCAGGAGAATCACTTGAACCCAGGAGGTGGAGGTTGCAGTAAGCCCAGATCACACCACTGCACTCCAGTCCAGGAACAAGAGCGAAACTCTGTCTCAAAAAAAAAAAAAAAAAGAAAAGACTATTCTAGGTGCCTCATATACGTGGAATCATGCAATATTTGTCTTTTGGGGACTGGCTTATTTCATTTAGCATAACATCTTCAAAGTTCACCTGTGTTGTGGCATATGTCAGGATTTCTTTCCTTTTTAAGTCCTGAATAATATTCCATTGTAGGTGTTGGTCACAGTTTATTCATCCATCAACGGACGCTTGGGTTACATCCCCCTTTTGGCTATTGTGAATAAAGCTGCCACGAACATGGCTGTGTAAATACCTGTTCGAGTCCATGCTTTTCATTCTTTTGGGTATATACACAGAAGACGAATTGCAGAATCATATGAAAATGTTATTTTTAATTTCTTTGAAAAACTCAGTGTATTGTTTTCTGTAGCAGCTGCACCATTTTACATTCCCACCAACACAAGTGTTCCCGTTTTTTTCATCCTCACCAATATTTCTTATTTTCTGAAAGTTTTTTGTATATTCTTTTGACGGTGGCCATCTTAATGAGTGTGAGGCAGTATCTCATTGTGATTTTCATTTGCATTTCCCTAGTGATTGCTGCTTCTGACTAAGGGATTCTGTTTTAAACAATGAAACCAAATGGGGAATTTCTTCACCCCTGGTACCATCTGTACCATCTTTGAGACCAGAAGTGGTTGTGGGGCTTTTTCATTTTTGTTTTTGTATTGAGACAGAGTCTTGCTCTGTTGCCCAGGCTGGAGTGCAGTGGCTCAGTCTCAGCTCACTGCAGTCTCCATTTCCCAGGTTCAAGTGATTCTCCTGTCTTAGCCTCCCAAGTAGCTGGGATTACAGCCAGCAACCACACTGGGCTAATTATTATATTTTTAGTAGAGATGGAGTTTCACCACGTTGGCCAGGCTGGTCTCGAACTCCTGACCTCAAGTGATCTGCCCACCTTGGTCTCCCAAAGTGTTGGGATTACAGGCATGAGCCACCATGCCAGGCTGTGATTGTTCTTTTTTATGCATTCATTCATTCATCACTCACTCATTCCTTTGCTATGCCTTGAATGCTGTACTGAGCTCTCCACAGATATTTAGGAGCAATACCAAGGCAATGCTACTGAGAGCAGATGTGTGAAATGACATTCAAATGCGACATGGAGAACTTCAAATGGCCACTGAATACATGAAAACATTCTTCACCTCACTGATAGTCATAAAAATCCATACTGAAACAAGAAGATGAATTTTCTCTTTTTTTTTGCCCTGCCTTTCAGTAAAGATTTAAAAGATTGATATGAGTACTAACAATACGAGAAAACAGGTCCTAACACATATTATTAGGGAGAACATAAATTGAATCAACATTTTTGGAAGATAATTCAGCAAGTTCACATCTAGAATTTATCCTAAAGTAAAACTGGGGCAAACACACAAAAACAGGAATTTTACAATAATACAAATGACCATCAAGAGAGAATTAACTAAATAAATTATGATATGGTATGGGAGAAGACAGTGGCAGTGAAAGATGTCCAAAACAAAAGGCTGCTGCCAGATCTACGGGTTCTACATCCTTGGTTCAACAAACTGCGGATGCCAAACCTGTGGGCTGATTTCTTGTATCCACAGGTTCCCGCGAGGCAGACTGAGACTTGAGAATTCTTGTATTTTGGTATCGCGGGGATCCTGGAACCAAACTCTCATGGATACTGAGGGATGACTCTAAGCTAAAGCAAGTTGCAGAAAAGTCTACAGTGCATATAAGCATACATATATACGTAATAGGGAGGTAGACGAATACTTTGTTAAGTTTTCTGAAAAGATACGTGCTGCTCTTGACAGTGGTTCTTTTGATGCGATGGTTTGAAATATAGAAGACATAGACATAGAAGACAAAGATATAAGACTAATATCAAAGGAAGAGAAGTTTTAAAGATGTCTTCTATCTTTTGCAAGTCTGCATTTTCTTTGGAATGTTTACAATGTACTTGCATTTTTCTGCTTATAGTCAGAAAAAATAATAATATTTAAAAAATAAATTCACTTTGGGAGGCCGAGGCTGGAGGGTTGCTTGAGCCCAGGAGTTCAACACCAGCATGGGAAACACGGTAAACCCCCATCTCTATCAAAAATGCAGAAATTAGCCGGGCATGGTGGCATATGCCTGTAATCTCAGCTACTCTGAAGGCTGAGGTGGGAGGATCACTTGAACCTGGGAGGTCGAGGCTGCAGTGGCGGTGATCGCACCACTGCACTCCAGCCCAGGTGACAAAGCAAGACCTTGTCTCAAAAAAGAGTTTATCTGGACAGATTATTGTGAGATAAAGGCCATTAAATATATGACAAAAAATATATATACTTTTCCAAGGGAGAGAAAAACAGAAACAAAAAATAGACAAACAAAATTATTCAATTAGAGTGGAAAGTTAAGTATTATCTGTGCATGATAAAGTCACAAGTCACAATACTTAAAATTGCAGAGTAAAGTCTAATCTCATAAACAAGTTTTTACAGGAATTGAAGCACATAACACAGATGTCATTTTGCCTCTACGGCATCTTGCAAGATAGGGGAGGGCGGGTTTTCTTACCACTGTCAGCATTTCCCGTTGATGGACGTGGATACCAGGTCCCAGAGGAGGATCACAATCAGACCCGCTGAGGGGAAAGCATCTGAAGGTTTGGAGGGAGGGACAAGCTGGGTCGGTCAGGAGAACCCAACAGCAAGGACAGCTTCTCTTCCTTTGGAGGTGGAGTTGTCCACAGGCAGGAATAGACGCTGTCCCCCAGCTCGGCACCTTGGCAGGCTGATTCCATCTCAGGCACTCTTTCTTGCTGAACCCTGTGCAGCCTGAAATTCATATTTATCCAAAACCACGGCCAGTCCGCCCAGAGTGCCTCCTAAGATGGAAAGGCTTGCCATCTCAGTCTGGACCAGCCACCTTCCTTGGCAGAGAAAGAGCCCAGGGCATGGAGTGGGGTTCTGTGGCACCGCACTGTGTCCAGGGCCCTCCCGGCAGCCCAGCCAAATGCCATCTCATCACGTGTGACCCTGAGGCAGCTGGGGCCACCCTTCCCTTCAACCTGCAGATACAGGCGCTCGAGCCCCGCCCCAAAGGTACCTGCAGATCATGCGGCACCCTCCTCACTGCTTCCCAGGAGATCCCCCAGCGGCGCCACCTTCCCTCTGTGTCCTGTCTCCTGCTCCTCAAGCCCACTGTCAGCCAGCTGTTCCCTGGTCGCTTCTGCCACCGTGGTCACCTTGGCCACCAGCTGCTGGCCCCGCTCCACCCTGCTTGTCCCAGGTGTGAACACAGCCCACTCTTCTTCATTCCCCAAAGCACCCCAAGAGCAGGGCTTTTGCCCATGACAGAGGGATAGTGCTGCAAAGAGCAAAATTCAACTTAAAGCTGGAGAGAAAATCATCTGTCCCTAGAGTTTGTCAGCACTTCACCTCGACAAAGGATTTTCCTTTATGTTTCTCAGGAATTCCTTCTCTCTCTGTACCTTTACCCCTAAAACCCAAGACTCCTACTTTGGTGCCCCCTAAGATGGCTTCCATGAGGAGGGTGTGGGCAGTACAGGTGCCATGATACATCTGGGATACTCAGAAAAGCAAGTTGCCTGCAGCTCTGCCCTCCACGCCTTTGCTCAAGCTGTTCCGCTGTCCGATTCAGCTTTCCTCCTCTGCCTCTTCTCTTTCCTACTCTCTCCTCACCCTTCACGTCTCAGGTAAGGTTTCCCCTTTCTGCAGAGCCTCCCAGGATGAGTTAGAGTCCCAGCCTCAAGCATTCCACAAGCCCCTTACAACATATCATAACAGAGGTCGTAAGCCAAAACCCCGGGGGGATTTTGGTTGGTTTACTCTTGTCACCCAGGCTGGAGTGCAGTGGCACAATCTCGGCTCACTGCAACCTCCGCCTCTCAGGTTCAAGTGATTCTCCTGTCTCAGCCTCCCAAGTAGTTGGGATTACAGGTGCCCAGCACCACATCCAGCTAATTTTTTCATTTTTAGTAGAGATGAGGTTTCGCCATGTTGGCCAGGCTGGTCTCGAACTCCTAACCTCAAGTGATCAGCCTGCCTCAGCCTCCCAAAGTGTTGGGATTACAAGCGTGAGCCATCGCACCCGGCCAACTTTGTTTTGTTTTGTTTTAATTTTTAACTTTTCTGTCGATGCTTTTGTTTTTTCAGATTTTTAACACTAGTTTTAAGTCAATTTTCAAGTTTTGAAAAATAGGAGAATTCACATAAGTATCAAAATTTCTGATTTGACTTAAAAAGCTAGAGACTCTGTCCACACAGGGTCCATTTTCCCATGAACCCAGTGTGGGAATATGGACCCACGTGGCAACAAGAGACTGCAGCTGATGGAAGCTGCCACCACCACCAGGTGTGTCTCTGAAGTTCACCGCAATCCCCACCATTCCCTATTGCCTCACACTTGGTCCCCTCACTAATTTACCCTCCCCACCTGCCCTGTATCAGGGGAGCTTGTGGCTCCTGCAAGGTTGGCATCCCCTGCCCCTGACCTGCCTTTTTCTCTCTAACACACTGTGAGCACTTTGAGAGCAAAGCTTCGCCGTGTCTGCCTCTCTACGCTGAGACAGACACTGGCTCAGAGCTGGTGCTCAACAAATGCTTTGTCAAGAAAACACCTCAAGGCCCCTCTTCCCCCAGGACCCAGTATCCACGGCACCCAGGGACAGTGGGGCCATTGCGCTCCCTCTTGATCCAAGTTCCCCTTGGACACTGGAAGGCCCACATCCCATGTTCTCAGCAAGGCCTCTCCTTACCCTCTGGATTAGTGAGGGAAAACTCGGCCCTGCACAGGTAGTCCCGGCTCCTCAGCGAGTGGCTTTTACACAGTGAAACCTCGTTTCTCCTTCGCATCACAGTCCAATGCAGTTGCTCCTGGCCAGGCAGCCTCCATGCAGTCACTCAGGACCCAAGCCTCTTCCATCCTGTGCTTCCATCCTCTTCCAGGCCCTCAGAGTCCTCTCCTCTCAGCCAAGGGGCAAGAAAAGAGAAGGGGGCTCATTGGAGGGATTTTTGGGCCAGACCCAAAGTGGCATGAATCACTTCCACCACACTCCACAACGTAGAAATCACGCACATGGCCACACCCAATTGGAAAGAAGAAAGGGAATAGCAATGGAGCCATGTGACCAGGAGGGGTGGAAAACGCAGAGACACATGAACACTGAGCTCTCGCTGCCAAGCCCTCCTTCTCCTTCATTTCTGCTCGGGAGGAATCCTGCAGAAGTGCCCCAGACTCACAGGGACTTGATCTTTCAAGAGCAAGAAGCTAAAAAACAGTGTCCTAATCTCACTCCCAGCCTTGTTCAGTGACTCCTCCCAGGAACCGTTTTAAAGATCTATCGCTGCTACAGAACAAGTCACCCCAAAAGGGACTACGCAAGGGTGTGAATAGCAGGCATGCTTCACTGGACCAATCTAACAGTCTACACAGGTGCTCCAGCAGGGCAGAGTAGAACAATGTGCGACCTTTGAGTCCAGCCAACCAGGGTTCAAATCCCAGCTGCAACACTTGGCAGCTGGACGACCCTGAACATGCCACTTAGCCCCCCTGAGGCTCTGTTTATGCATCCTCATAGAGGGGTGAAAGCACTGTGGCCTTGGGGACTCTCAGGCTCCTGTAGCCCCCTCCTCCTCAGCTTCTACCCATTTTTATCTCTTAAATATTGAGATTCTAGATACGATTCTTCTAAAGAAAGAGAAGCAGCAGAATGCGGAAGTTAAGTCACAAGCTCCAGAGTGCCTGCCTTGCGGGGCTGCTGTACGGATTCAGTGTGATCATGCTGAGCCCTGGGCTTGGCCCACCACTAAGTGTTCCACACACATTATTGGTTCCCATGTCCCCAGCCCCAGCGGGACCCACCTGATGGTGTTCCCCCACTGCAGGGTATGTCTTGTACATACTGCAGCTATATTTAATTCCCCCAGCATCACTGCAGAAGCCAGACAATTGCAGAGATTCGACTCCTGCAAAAGAACAAGGTGAATCTCAGGTGGGACCTGGGTAGGAATTCACTCCATTACACAGAAACAGGACTTCGCGTGGTACAGGGACCAAATGCCCCCTCAGTGCTCCCAGGCTGGACACATAGCCAGGGAGCCATTGATTCAACTCACATGACCACAGGCTGCTCCAGGACCCAGGATCCTACCCGGGAGAGGGTTTGGGACTGCTCAGAGGTGAGAAAGGGGCCTCTTGTTTACTATGGCTCGGGGGAAGGACTGATGGAGATTTAGGGGACCCACATATCCATCCCCTAAGCCACCCCTTGGCTGCCACTGCCTATGACAGCCCACATGTCCTACAGTCTCCAGTCAGGGCGGAAGTCTCTTCATCAGGGATATGAGGTTCTCTGCCCAGTTGCTGAGGCCAAGGATTAAAGCATCTACCCGTATCACCCAAGGCCTGGACCTTATCTCAAAGTCAAGGCAGCACCCATAGAGGGAGCAAGTGGTGGTCTGGGGGCTCTACCCCTAACCAGCTCTGGGCCCGTGGGCAAGTCCATGCTCCCCTCCGGGGCCTGGAGAGGGGGGCATTCGATCAGGGCTTTTCAAACTGTGGCCTGGAAAGCTTCAGGCTCCTGTGTCCTCTGCTTCCACCCACTTTCATCTCAAATGTTGAGATTCTGGATAAGATTCTTCCAAAGGAAGAAAAGCAGCAGAATGCAGAAGTTAAGTCACAAGCTCCAGAGGCAAAGAGACCTGGGTTCAAATGAGTAAGCTCAGGCAAGACAGTTCACCTCATTGATCCTCAGTCTCCCCATCTGTAAAATGGAAACCATACTGGAACACACGCCCGTGTGGGTTGTTCCTAGTATTAGGGGGAGATTGTGTACATAGAACTCTTGGTATTGTGTCTGCCACACGGTGAGTGCTCACCCTGTGGATGTAACCTACCGTTATCATTATTTTGAAAAGCTGCCAAATTTTGTGAAGGTTTACAGACTTTTGCTTTGGTGGTCTCTGATCTCATCAGTCCCAGCCCCCACCTTCAGTTCCCATCCCAGCCATCCTCCCCACCGCAGGGGCTGACTCTGGATGCCATGGGGCCTCTGCACTGGGCCTGGGACCCCCATGCTTAGACCTGGATGGTGGTCCCAGCTCTGTCACTGACCAGCTGGGTGGTCTTGGGTGAGTCATTTTACTTCTCCAGACCTCGGTCTTGTCATCTGTTAAGTGGGAATGATGTCACTATATACCTTCTAGGGGTGTTGTAGGGATTAGTACAGCACCTGACACATAATAAATGCTCAATGATTGCTGTAATGATTAAATTTAGTTGGGGTAGGTAGTTTGGGTTTCATTTTCTTAATCATGTTGGGGGGGTGGGCGCCCTCTAGTGGTGAAGCCCCACCTGGTGGGGGGTGCCTTAGCCTTTAGCCTGGGTGGGGAGGGTAGTGAAGGAAGGACCTGTGGACCCACATCTTAGACGGGGATCTTCCTGGAACCAAGGGTGAGTTTCAACCTAAGGTTACCACAGCTGGCCCTGGGACCAGTGATCTGTAAGCTGGCTTGGCAGGGAGGGCAGAGAAGGAAGTTGTGGCTTAGACCGCTGGGTAAACATCTCTGCAAAGAAGGAAGACACAGTGGCCACCATAGAGCGAGAAGACAGGCATGAGAGGGTGCCGAGGCAGTTCTCATTCTCCCCTCACCTGTCGCTCACCCTCACTACCATCCTCCCAGTCCATTTTACAGATGGAAAAACCGAGGCCCACAGAGGTAAAGGCGCTCTCCTGCGGTCACACAGGACATCCAAGGCAGAATGCAGGCCGGCACCTGAGCTCCAGGTCCAGTGCTCTCTGCTCCACACTACAAAGTCAGCTTGGCCACACCAGGCAATGGGAAGCAGAGGACATTTCATTGAATCATACAGTGAAATTTCGAAGAAGAAGGGGAAAAAAGCAGCAGGCGGAGTTCCCAGGGCTGGAGCCCTGCCCAGCTGGTCCCAGAGCTCAGGGAGGGTGGGAATGACGCAGCCTGGGCCCATAGCGGTCTCAGGAGCACCATTCGCCGGGAATCTGCAGGCAACGGCAGCCAGAAGGGCTGCAGAGGCTCTGGGAAGGACGGCTGAGCCGGCGGCGGCCCAGGCTGACTCCACAGGGGCGCCAGGATTCCCTCCATTACAGAATCCAACAGGACCCCCACCTATCCCCAACCCCCCCACACACAAACACAGAGAAGAGCCCAGGCCCAGCAGAGCGAACCGGCAACAGAAGCCTCCTCCACAAGGAAGGGGTCAGCCTGGAGCAGAGAAATCCCCGCAGACTCGTGAGAGGGGTGGCCAGGAGCAGGAGTCCAGGCCCAGCTGTGGGCCGGGGCTGAGGCCGAGGGCTGGAAGCTGTGGACACGGCCAGCTCCCTTCCCCACTCAGACGGGCTCCTTTCCTGTCCTCCAACCTGGGAGGCCTCGCCTGCTATGTGTCCGAAAAGCTTTCTCACGAGTTATAGCTCAGCTGAGACTCACAACGCCTCTGTCGGATCATCCCAACCTACAGGCGAGGAAGCTGAGGCTCCATGCGGGGAAGGGAAGGGGCTGCAGGCTTTCAGAGCCATTCCCACCCAGCATGACTGTCTGACATCACCCCTTTTGACATCTTGAGATCTGCAGCATTAGGCTAGGGAAAGGAGGGCACGGATCTGGTCAGCCACTAGCCCCCAGGACCCTGGTAAAATGCTATCCCCTATCCCAGCACTCAGCAGCCCCCAGCCCCAGCGATCACACGCTTCCAGGGCTAGATGTGGAAGGAGGTGGTGCATGGTGACACAAAGAAAGTAGGCTTTGGCTCAGCTGGACCTGAGTTCAAATCCTGGCTCTGCTGTGTGTTTTCTGGGTGACCTTGGACGTGTCATTTACATCTCAGCTACCCAGTTTCCTGAGCTGACAGAAAAGCATAGTATCCTCTGCACTTGCCGTTCGTAGTAAAAATAAGAGCTACTGTTTATTGCACCCTTTGAGATTAGGTCCTGTTCTAATCACTGTAGCTGCATTAGATGATCTAAGCCTTTCAACAGTGCCGTGATATGTTATTACTCATAGCTCCATTTGCAGAGAGGAAACAGAAACATCCAGGAATAGGCAGAGGAGGGATTTGAACTCAGCCTGTCTGGTCCCTAAATACTAAGCTACGGTGTCCATTTATCACACAGGAAAAGCACATCAGCGATATCAGATGTGCTGTGGGGCTGGAAAGTTTGGGAGGAGTGGAGATGGCAAGGTTCAGAAACAGATTGGCCAGGGAGTGCCTGTCTCTGCCAGGATCCATTTGGACCAAGCTCATACCCTGGGTCTGGGAAGAGCTCCGGTTGTACTCTGGAGTCTCAGCTCACAGCTCCAGCCCGGTCCCTTCATCAAATCACCGACTTCTCAGTAGTCACTAAGGCTGTCTTCTGGGCCAGGCCCGGGACTGGACACGCAGGCGAAGGCAGATGAGGGGCACAACGCCATAGCCCCCTCAAGTGGAAGGAGGCCTCGCTAGATGCCATGATGGGGAGGAGGCAGGAAACCAGGGCCATCTCTATGGTAGGTGGACTCACTACCTGACGGAAAGGAAGCTCTGCTCCCAGGGCTGAGAGGCCGAGCTCTCCTGGGGCCCCTCCCTGCCCAGGAGCTGCTCCTTTAAGAAGCCTGACTGGCCCCTTTAAGGAGCAATGGAGCGAGGCCATTTCCCACTGTGTGCCCCCTCCAGTTGCAACTAAAAGACTCCTGGCTTTCACACCCAGGCTGAGCCGGGGATAGGCAGCCCCCTGCTCCTCCCTTGACCTCCTGGCCACCCCTCAACCCACTCCAGCCCAAAGTCCCCATGCCTTCATGCCGCGGTCCCAGACCCTCAGTGGCCCCCATCATCCCATCCATCCGCTCTTGATCTGTTCCCTGGCTGGGACTCCTGGCTGGGGCTGCAGAGCCCTTCCCTTCCCACTCCGTGCTTGGCAGAGGGGTGAGTGTCTGTTCTTGAGCTGGGCCCAGGGGGCTGGCCGAGGCCAGCGAGTGGAAAGGGAGGTGGAGGGCAGGGCTGTCTAAAGGGAACCCCTTTTTCCAAGGAGCCAGATCCACCCACCACAGGGATGTGGGATGAGGGCAGGCAGAAAGGGGGACCAGCCCAAAGTGAGTGCTGGAGAGCATCTATCTGCACAGAAGACTGAAGTAAGTGGTTAGGCTTCCGGAAGAACTGATTAACCAAGGAGGATCCAGACCCCTGCAAGAACGGGAAGTCCCATCTTCCTGGGAGTCTTGGCCTTCAGTCAGAGGAAGGCAGGCAACCATGCATCCAGAGGGGCACCCACTCTGCACCTGGCACCTTGCTAAGACACCCCACAGGTCTGATGCCAGCTCACGCCCGGACTTGCAGCCTTCCCACTCAGGTCCTCACCCAACCAGCAGAATGAGTAAGAACCTGGGCTTGGGAGTCTTGACAGATGCTGCAAGTGAATCCTGGCCCCACCATTTACCACCCGTGTGACCTTGGACAAGTCATGTCACCTCTCTGGGCCTTAATTTCATCATCTGTAAGATGGTGATAGGCTGGGCACAGTGGCTCACACCTGTAATCCCAGCACTTTGGGAGGCCGAGGCAGGTGGATCACCTGAGGAGTTTGAGACCAGCCTGGTCAACACGGGTGAAACCCATCTCTACTAAAAATACAGAAACAAATTAGCCAGGCGTGGTGGCGCATGCCTGTAATCCCAGCTACTCGGGAGGCTGAGGCAGGAGAATCGCTTGAACCTGGGAGGTGGAGGTTGTGGTGAGCCGAGATGGTGCCATTGCACTCCAGCCTGGGCAACAAGAGGGAAACTCTGTCTCAAAAAAAAAAAAAAAAGACGGTAATAATAGTTCCCACCTAGGGAGCTGTTGCAATGAATGCTCAGGCAGTGCGTGCTCCTTTCTATGGTTCTGCCGGCCCTGCAGCCCCACCCGAGTCTCTTCGGTCCTGGTGGAGCCCCAGGTGGGGTGTCTGTCCTTCCTCAGCAGT